CCCTGCTCCGAGCCGGGGGCGAGGCTCGAGTCCCCCGCGGGGCGGCTCGGTCCAGCCGGGTTTGCAGCCGCCGCCCGCGGCGCTCTGTCCTCAGGACCCTCCCTCGACGCCTCGCACAGCTCGCGATTGTTTTCCGCGGCCTCAGCCCGGGCTGCGGTCCCCCTCCAGCGCCAGGCCGCCCAGCCCTGTACACGGGTGGTGACCCGGGGTGCGGCGCTGCGTCCCCGGGAGGGGAGCCTGAGGACCGGGTCACAGGCCGACCGCCCCGCGCTGGTACGAGGACAGGAGGCCCTGATGTCCCTCCGCGCATCTCTCATGCTACTGTGCTCCCCAGCGCTCTGCACCGGAGCAGTTAGACGGGTGACCGCCTCCACCGGACAGGCCGGCCCGGCCTTTCACACAAGGGCACCCTTGGCTGGCTGAATGAGTGATGTGGAGCACACAAACCCAGCACAGACACACAGACTGGAGAACACATACACAAGTAAGTGTGAAATATGTACATGTGAGCAAAATTCAATTTATGTTCATCCTTTTCTGACTCATTCTTTTTTTTTTGAGGCAGGGCCTCACTACGTAGTGCCGGCTGGCCTTGAAGTCACTTATGTAACCCAGGCTAGCCTGGAACTCAGCCGTCCTCCTGCCTCAGCCTCCCAGGCGCTGAGATTACAGGCGTGCGCCCCCACGCCCTGCTCTTCCGACTCAGTTTCAAGGAACACCCCAAAGGAGCCGACAAGAGCATCAGCTACGTTAAAGGAATATTTGCAAATTGAAACGCCAGGAAGTGTACATGCTTTTTTAAAGAGACAGGATCTTGCTATACTGTCAAGGCTGGCACTGAACTCCTGGTCTCAAGTGAACGCCTGCCTCAGCCTCCTGAGTAGCTAGAGATCTTATTCTATAATAACACAAATAAAGAAAAAACCCTTTCACTGCATGATGAACTTGCTTACTGAATAAGTAAGATATTCTCGCTGTGCCAATCACAGCGGCTGCCTCACCCCTGCCCGCCCCTTCCTAGAAGCCACGGTGCCAGCTCCTCAGGTTCCTCGCAGTGTGTTGGTTGTGAACATAGGGAACATAGGTACGTTTTGCGCAGATGTTAGCGCACTAAACAAAAGGCTCTGAACCTGGCTTTTGCTGTTAAAGGCGCAGCCTATCTGTCTGTACAAAGAATGTATGTGTTCCTCAGACGTGGCCTCTGCTAAATGAAATGCGCCAGGCAGAGCTCGCTGCCTCAGAATGGAAGGTTCATAATTTATTTCACCAAATCTGTACTGATGACCGTAAAAGTTGTTTCCAATCTCTTGATATTACCCCAAAAAAAAAATGCTTCAAAGAAAACTCTTGTGAGCATGACGTCTTCTGTTTTTATTAACAGTTCAAGGTGTTCCAGGAACAATCTCTGTGACCACCAGCTCTGGTAACTCAGACTGGGTGTGGTATGCTCTGCCTCTGGCTCATGCAAATGACAGCACAGGCTGGAGCTAGGAAGGTCTGGAGCAGTCCCTGGACAGTGAAAGATGTCGCTTATAAGCAAGGCAGGGGCGGGAGCTCCCTGTGGCCCTCTCTGTCTCTGCTTTGGCTCGCTGGGCTTTCCGGTGAGGTGGTAACTGTGTTCTTTTCAGTGCCGACGTGTATTATACACGGCACAGTCTCAGCTCCTTTCCGAGGCTGACTTGGGGGCAAATTCATCTTCGCAAGTAGTTACTTCTAAAATGCAGGCCAGGAGGCTCACAGAAGCTATTACCTACTGCTTTCCCCGCTCCTGCTTTCACCATGGAAATTAGCCAGTGTTTTGTTCAGATCTGCTGGTGAGAATCTGATCTTGGTTTACATGCATCCAGGTCTGAGACATGACCACTGCTCAAGCAGACTGACCCTCCCAAAGCTGCTCATTTCTGTCTTGTATTAACACATCAGCACTGCCTTCCAGTGGTCTTTCTGAATCATCCCCCTCCCCACAGCTTTTCTAATTCCCATGAAAAAGAAAATAACCCTCTAACCATTTGTCTCAAGATGTCTCCATAAAATATCCAACCTGCTACTGAGTAGGCTGTATATTCTCATTTCAGTTTCTTAGTTGCTCTTTCTTATTATCTATCACTATTACTGCAGTGGGTGAGGATTTCTCACTGAGGGAAAATGAAGGGTTTTCATCTTTCCATCTAAAACCCCACAACAAGGGGCTGGGGATTTAGCTCAGTGGCACAGCGCCTGCCTGGCAAGCTCAGGTCATGAGTTTGATTCCCAATACCAATAAACAAATAAAGAAATAAATAATAAAACCCCACATGAAGCTGTAACACTTCCTGGCCACAACCCTTCCAGATTGTCGGGTAGCAGGTTCTGATGGCCGCTGGTTGTTGCTGTTGTTGTTTGTTGCTGAGATGGAGTCTCACTGTATTCTCCACTCCAGGCTTCAACAGGTGATCCACCAGCCTCAGTCCCCGACGTGTCGGGGAGAACAGATGTGTGCCACCATGCCTAGCTGTCCACATTTTTAAAATGGTACCAGTGTCAGGCTGGGACGTGGACCACTGGAAAGTACTTCTCTAGCCTGCACAAGACACCACAATGTAACTTTTTTAAAGTAAGAACAGCATCAAAGTGTTTATATGAGCGTGACTCTCAGCAAGAAGCACAAGTTAGGACAACTCTAAACAGATGCAGTGAACAGACTATTTAGGAGAATACAGAGAAACGACAAGGGACTGGTGAGCGGGCATCACCCCGAAAAGAGGGAGAGGACCTGAAGGAGAACATCTGAGGCCCGGCTGTTCCAGAAGTGCAGGGGTCCCCGAGTGCCCCTGAGGAGGGAGCTGGGGAAACACTGCCTCCCGCACTGTTCTTTGCCCCCCACCTTGGCCAAAGGTAACTGGTCCACCTCTGCAGCTCAGAACAGTCCACAAAGTAGGTCTGGAGGGACATATATACCCTTCTTGTCCCATAGTCACATAATCTAATATAAACAGTTACATTAACTGTACCCCATAAACATGCAGTTACTATGTGTCAACATATTTTAAAATACACAGTTGCATTAAAAATTATTTCAAACAAAGATGCATAGGAAACAACATCATGTATTATATTTTCCATTAAAGTAATTTCATGCACACCTTTGTCTTCATAATTATGATTTTTAACAGCTCTATAAAAAGGCAAGTGTCAGGGGCTGGGGATTTAGCTCAGCGGCACAGCGCCTGCCTGGCAAGTGCAAGGTCGTGAGTTTGATTACTGATACCACAAAAAAAAAAAAAAAAAAAAAGGCAAGAGTTACATCAAATTTAAGGAATCAGCTGTTGTACACTTAGGTGACTTCCCCCTCCCATAGAATGTTGTGATAAATATCATTGTGATAAAGATTTTTTCTAATTTTGTGTTATTTCTTTAGGATCCACATTTCCAAATATATGAGATCAAAACCATAGATATGAACATATTCATGGCTTTTAACATATTAAATTGCACTGCCAAAGTCTTTTGCCAATATATAATGCCACCAGGGATGCATAAGAAACCTGGGATGCTGGGCATGGTGCCACACGCCTGGGATCCCAGCACTCAGGAGGCTGAGGCAGGAGGATCACTGGGAGTTCAGGGTCAGCCAGGGCTACATAACGAGTTCAAGGCCAGCCTGAACTGAACATAGGAAGACCCTGTCTTTCAAAAAGAAAGAAAGAAAAAAAGAAAAAGAAAGAAAGAAGGGAGGAAAGAAAGAAAGAAAGAGAGAAAGAAAAAGAAAGAAAAGAAAGCAAGCTAGCTGGGATCATGGAACCTTCATCTACATTACATATTGTCACATGCAGCTTGTGTTTGTTTGTTTGCTAATTTACCAGGTAAGTATGCTCATTTTTGTTTAATTTGCTTTTCTTTGGTAACTGGCAGAGTTTCTGTGTTTTACTACATGTTTGCTTATGGCTTATATTTGCTGTTTGATTGCTGGGTTTCTATGAATTAGTTACTGGTCTCTAAAGCTGTTGCTAAAATGAATCCTGGGGAGAACTCTTTCAATCGCAAATTGATGGTGGCAACGATAGCAACTTCCAAAGGAAGAGGCAAATGAATTTCAAGTTGAGGGCTCACGGTTTTCATACCTACTTTTTGGAAAGTATATACCTCTGCTAGATTGCAAGGTTCACCCACTCTCCCCCATTCCCTTCCTGCCCCATAAATCACCTGTGCAGAACGCAATGTAGCCAGATCGCTCACAGTAACCTAACCCCCAGTACTCTCTGTTCCTCACTGGCAACATGCAGAGTTGGACGTCAGCTTTGCTGCGGCTGGGCTTGACTGACCGATTCTGAGAGACACGGGGGCTGTTGTGGTCTGTGCACACACACACACACGCGCACCCTTTGTAAACAAGGTGTTTCTCTCCTACACAGCCTCTTTCCCTACCTCACAACTCTCTTCCTTGACCTCCTAGCCCCAAGGTTATTTTCACAACGAGGCTGCAGACACTCAGAGTCACCCAGGAGAGCTGCGTACAAACACAGCCCTGGGGCCTCCCTGTGGGAAGTCTGGCTCGGTGAGCGGGGTGGGCCCAGGAAGCTGCCCTATTTTAAATGACTGACATGCCGGGAGTCTACTTTAGAAAATATATCTGAGTTGGACATCTTGAAAGCAGGGACAGAAATGAGGCAAGGAGGGGAGTTATAATCCAGCAATGGGCCCTTCTACGTCCCTTCTGCAAAACTGCCACCCTGGAGAAAATAAGCCCCTGACTCACGGAAACGGCAGTCAACATGAGGCAGCTTTTATGCGGTAGGGCTCAGGCGGGCAGCGGAGCACCGTCCCCGGCTTTGCGGCAGCGTCTCTGAGGGGTAGTTAGTGATTCCCGGGTACTGCCAGCGCTCCTGCGCTGCATTTCCCCAGGCCCTGGAGCGCACATCTTTTTTTTTTTTTTTTTTTTTTTTGTCTTTTTGAGACAGGGTCTCGCTATGCAGTTCAGGCTGGCCTTAAACTCACTTATGTAGCCCAGGCTGGCCTCGAACTCGCAACAATCCTCCTGCCTCAGCCTCCCAAGTGCTGGGATTACAGGCGTGCGCCACCATGCCCGGCTTTTGAGTTTTTTGTTTTGTTTTGTTTTGTTGTCTAGAAGCGTACATCTAAACCCCTACAGGCATGCTACCTCGGACCGCAAAGTTTCAGATAACAAAAAGTTTCAGATTCTAGGACACACACACACACACACACACACACACACACACACACACACAAACCCACACTCCCTTTCTGAACAAAAAGTATTTCTCTTCTTTACATACTCAGCACGGGCCCAAGAAATTTACATAACCGCTAGGTTGTCCAAGGTTCCTCCAGGCCCCTGGCTGAGGGTTTTATTCATGAAATGCCTGTAGTGGACAACCCTAACACACTGCACTTCCAAGGTGTTAAGGCGGAGGAAGGAGATGGCACGGCTTTCCCTTCCGTTCTACTTGCACGATGCTGCCACCCTGTGGCTATTGAAGGAAAGGCGACCCAACTTTTTCCAGGGGTGCACGCGAATATATGGGAGGGTTGGGGTGGTTACGTTTCCTTGTCACGTTCTCCAACAATTTTTAATCCAGGTAGAGCCTACTTTGGAGAATTGTGAGAGTAGACTAGAAACATACTCTTAGAGGAGCTTTAAACAGAACTTCAGATCTTAAAAATCGCCTTGGGAAGAAATACCCAAACTTTTTGTAAGACAAATTCACTAAGATGTTAAAATGATGATGTAATATTGTGCTAAAACCACTAAGTATCAATGACATGCTCTTCACGTGGGAACTGGGCTTCCTGAAACCCTCTCTTTTCCTGAACTGGAAGCACTCTAAGGAAAGACTCCACAGAAACCAACCTTCATGTGCGTGAAACCCTTTCCCCAGCTCCTGTTTCTTCAGGATTTCAACTGCACATACATACCTGGAGCTCTGATGTCCTCCCTTGAGCAAAGAAAAAAAAATCCTTCCAGGTCCCTGTTAAAGACCCACAGTGCTGTGCTACCTTCTTGCTATTTCTCTAAAACTAGTTGTAAAGCTCCTCACCATTAAAAATCACAAAACTTTTGACACACACAAAATATCTACCCTGCAATAGTATTTGCACTGTGCTCAGCCCACTTTTGGACATTGTATCAAACACATATTCAGTGCCATAGCAGGGTGAGAGGAGCCCTGAGCTTGGGTGGGGGAGATTGCTCCTCAGGGCCCATCCCTAAATAGTGGGAAGAGAGGCTGAGTGAGCCAGAGAACAGAGCTGAAACAAATAGGCAGCAATAAAAGGCTTCTTCTCAGCTCTGAAAGAGAAGTGCTACCATGTCTGTAAAGACTGACCTTAGACACAGTGTTGCTCTGGTGCGCCCCTTGAGCACCAGCGTGTGCAGGCCAGGTGTTCAGCCAGAGGGTCCAGAGGTACCGCAGGGAGCCCGCCTTCTCCCTGTAGCCATAGATGGGTCCCATGGCAACACAGTGTGGTGCCTGCCGCAGTAGGTGCAGGTTGGCCTGGAAGCCAAAGGAGCCCCTGGTATGGCACGACTGCTCCCCACCAGGGAGAAAGTAAGTCTTTTGTATGTGGCAGGCTGCCCAATATCTCCCAGCTGGTGGTGCAAGAACCAAAACTCAGGTCTCATGGCCCCTGAGAGACCTACAGAGGCTCAGAGGCACATGGCTTATTAGCAACAATACAAGCTAAGAGGGGCTCTGCAGATTTGAGGCTATTATAGTTTATGTATTTGTCTGGTTTTCTGTGAGTCCTTCCTTCTTTACTGCTGCCTCAATCTCAAGTTTTTGGGTTTTCTGGTCCGTGTCATTCTCCTAAAGTAACAAAGCATCATACTCAAGGTAGACATATTATAAAGGTATTTAGATTATGGCATGGTGGAAGAGGAAACAGGAAAAGAAAAGTAGAAAAAGGCTGAAGGAGCTGTGGTGCACACCTATAATCTCAGCAACTCAAGAGGCTGGGGCAGGAGGCTCACAGGTTCAAGGACAGCCTGGGCAACTTAGCAAGTCCCTACCTAAAAATAAAGAATAAAAAAGGGCTGAGGATGTAGCTCAGTGGTACAGCACACCTGTATCAGATTCCCCAGTACTGAAAAAGAAAAGTTTAAGAGAGGGAAGTAGTTAATGTTTATTGATTTAGCTTTTTATGATGGAGTATAATCATTTCCTAGGGTTATCGTAACAGAGAACCACAAAGTGTGACTTAAACGAACAGAGATTTATCACCCCACGGTTCTGGAGGCTAGAATCAAAGTGTCAGCAGAGCGGTACTCCCTCAAGGAGAAAATCCCTCCTCCCTTCTTCCTGTCACTGGTGGAGGCCCTGATCCTTGGCCTTCCTTGACTGCAGCTGTGTCACTCCCATCTCTGCATCCGTCCACCACTCGCATGGCTTTCCCTGCGTCTTCCTCCACAGCTCCCCGTTTGTATAAAGATAATGCACTAAAAGCCACCCTAATGACCTCATCTTAGCTTGATGACACTCACAAAGACCCTGTTTCCAAATAAGGTCATTTTCAGAAGTGGGGAATTTTTTTTATTTTAAAGAGAAAAAAAAAGGCAATAAAATATAGATGCAGAATTTCAAAGCAAGATGATAGGAAATTAACAATGGTTATTATATTGCATATTGTTATCTTCAAGTTAGTTGCTCAGGTTACCAGATATAGGCATGCAAAATTGATCAAACAATATAAGCACTAATGGCTCCTTTCAATGAACTAATAGAAATTAGCAGTACAATTATCTTAGCTAGCTTGTGTATTATACATACCTTTCCCCCGCTTCCTTCTTTTCTCTTCCCCCCCATCCCCATTTTTCTTTCCTTTTGAGCAGTTTCTTTCCCTTTCACTATATCTATGAGAAGTGGGAAATATTTGAGTAGTTAGATTTTCGACATATCTTTTTGGGAGGACACAACTCAACCAATAACATAGAGTGTTTCCAACATAATACATATGCAAACATACGAAAGCAAAGAGTCTGGTACAGTAAACCCTTACATGCACATCTTCAAAGTTCAACGATCATCAGCTCTTTGCCAATCTTGTTTTGTCCATGTCCCCTCCCCTTATATTATTTTGAAACAAACCCCAGACCTCATACCCTTAAAATATCTGATACATCTCTAAAGATAAAGTCTTTGTTTTAACATGGCCACAAAAATATTATTACACGCTAAGATGTTGAACGATAATACCTAGTCATTATTCAAATTTCTATTTGATTTGGGTTTTTTAAAGTGTATTTGAATCAGGACCCAAATAATGTCCTCGGGGTCACTGACATTTAAACTATCTTCCTAGAAGGAGCACTGAGACTCTCTGGATCTTTTCTCTCCTTCTGGTGGTTGAGGACTGGCTGACCTTACCCGCTGAAACCCATGTGGGATGAGGGTTGGAGGACTGCAGTCAGGGACCAGAATTAAAGTAGATGGTGAGAGATCTTGGCAGGAGGGAAGGAAGGAAGCTGGGGAGCTGGGGCATGGGGAGGCAGCTCAAATGGTGCAGGGAGCAGCACACTGGCAGATTTTCTTTGTAGCTGACAGACTTTTAAAACAGCAGGTGTTATAAGCAACTGTACATGCAATATGTATTAGACACCCAGAAGCTTTCTATTTCAAACACATCAAGTGCTGTCAAACTTCCAAGTTGTTCCTTCCATGAAAAGTACCTTTTCTCCCTCTCATTCCAGCCCTTCATCCTGGAGAACTTCTATGCTTGCTCCAAAACCCAGATCAGATGGCCTTCCTTCTGTGAAGACCTCTCTGATCCCTCCCAAAAAAAATGGGTTATTCTTTTATCCATCACTCTAGAGGGCTTTGAACCTGTCTCTACAATTACACTGTCATTGTCCATGTTACATATGAGTGTCCCAGGGATCTTTGAGGGGAGGAACAATGTTGGTTTGTATTAGTCTCTTTTCTGTTATTGTAGCTAAATACTTGCTGCTGAGTAACTCATAAAGAAAAGAGGCTTATCTACCTCACAGTTTGAGAGTTTGAAATTCAAACAGCATGGCACCAGCTCTGGTAAGGGTGCCCCCATTGTGTCATGTTGTGGCAGGGGGCATCACAGTGGGGGCACAAGGCAGAGGAGGTAATCGCTTCGTGAGTCAGAAAGCCAGAGAGTGAGGGAAGCCAGTCTATGCCCTTTACAACAAACCTCTTGTGAGAACTCCCAGGGTCCCACAAGAGCTACACTAACTCCTCCCAGAGACAGTGCTCCCGCAGGGACCTAACTACAGCTCCCTTGGCTCCACTCTGTTGATGCTGCAGTTGTGTTGTGCTGTTTTATGTTTGTGCTTGAGTCTCACTCTGTATCTTAGGCTGACTGCCTCAAACTCTCAATTCTCCTGCTTCAGCCTCGCAAACCCTGGGGCTACAGGTATGCAGCACCACACCCCTCTTAGACTCTGCTTTCTCGAGTTTCCGCACCACCTTCCAACACCAGCACCCTGGGGACCAAGATTTTGACACACAGTGAATCCTTGGGGACGAACTGCATCTGAACCACAACATGGGCCTTCTGCGTGTTCTGAGCCTTCAGCATCATGCCTGGCATAGAGAACTCTGTTCAATAAATGTTTATTGAATGCAGAAAAACTAGAGGAAGAAGAAAAGAAAAGGGAAGGGAAATCAGGGAAGAGAAGAATCAAAGGGAAGGAAGGAGAAATGGAGGCAGACAGGAAGTCAGACATGAGGCAAACAACTGACCCAGGCCAGGCAGAATCAGCCAACCTGACTTCCAGGTTGGACACCAAGATCAAAGGAAGCCTGCAAAAATGTTTCCTTGACCAGTACAGCATTTTTAAAATTTTGACTGAGTGATTTTTTAAAATTTTTTTTCAGTGCTGGGGATTGAAACCAAAACCTCACAGGCAGAATATAAGCACTGTGCCCTGGAATTACGCCCCAGCCCCAGAGAGCAAAATTTAAGATCCAGATTTCTAGCTTCTTAAACAGAATGGAACTCTCTAGCGTGACATGGGCCCAGCCTCCATGGTAACTATTGGCTGGACCAAAATGGGCTTTTCCCAGGTGACCACAGTCCCCACTCCTCCCTCTGGCGGCCCAGCACGGGGGCTGGGTATCACGAGCCACTCAGCCTGGTGCTGGTGCTCACGGCCATCATCTGCCTGCTTCACCCACTCGCTCCACCCGACCAAGCAAGCTGCTGCGGCCTGATACTCCATGACCGTCCGGAGTGGCGGCGGGCTGTGGCGGGGACTCACTGTACAGCATTTGCCTAGCGTGCATGACACCTGACACCTGAGGTTCAATTCCCCAGCACTGCAAAAAAAGGGGTTACTGCAGAGCTGCCCTGCCCAGCAGAACTCTGTTCTGCAGCCCACACAGCCCAGCACGGTGACCAGAGCCCCTGTGAGTTGTGAGCACTCGAAATGCCGCGGGTATGAGTGAGCTGAATTTCTAAGCTTACTTGATTGTACTTAAGTTTAACAGTCACCTGTGCTTATTGGCTGCCACTCTAAAGATGCATTTCTAGGGCAGTGCTTCTCAAGACCCAACCTGCGCAGAAATACCTGGGGGCCTTCTAACACAGAGACTATTACTTAGCCGTGGGGCCTTAGAGTGGGGCCTGAGAGGCTGAGTCCCTGGGTGCTGCTGGTGATGCCAGGCTTTGGCCCACTCTTTGGGCAGTAAGGTTGTAGGACAGTCCTGCTCAAACTTCAGCATGCATGAGAATCCTCTGGAGAAGCTGTGGACACAGATCCGGGGCCTATGGCTCACTGGTTCCGACTCAGCGGGTCTGCAGTGGTCTGAGAATTTGCATTTGTAAGGAGCTCCTGGGTAGAGTTGGAACATGATCCTAGAGGACAGATGATGATATAAAAAATTAGTTGTAATCACCCTCTAATTCTCCTTCGCAGATGCTATTTGTCTCACTCCACATGTGCTGCCGTAACAAAACGCCACAGGCTGGAGGATAACTTCTAGGCAGCAGAAGTTTATTTCTCTCAGTTCCAGGACAGAAGCCCAAGGTCAAGACACGCTGGGTTTGGTGTCTGGTGAGGGCCCACACCCCACTTCCAGGATCGCGTGCACCTTGGTATTGCACCGTCCAGATGGGAGAGCACTGCGTCCTCAAGTGGTGGAAGGGACAGAAGGACAAGAGATAGTGTGCTCGTGCCGAAGCCTCATTAGGAGCCTCCTGGAATAATCACTAGGCCCTACCTCTCAAGACCGCCGCAACAGGGGTTAAACTCGAACATCAACTTTATAAGGGACACCACATTCAACCATAACCTTACTACTAAGAGTTCATATTTACATCCTACACAAAGACAGTTGCTGTCCTATTTTACAGATGAAGAAACGGAGGCACAGGGAGGTCAGGAACTTGCCTAAGGCCACACTGCTGCTAAGTGCCGCCTCTGGAGAAGCTGACACCTCACCCCGCGCTGTGTGGGTTCTACCGGGACCGTTTCGCCCTCGTGCGTAGACCCCTCAGCCCTTGCATTTAGACCTGAAGAGAACTTTTTATAACTCAGCCAGACGGGCTTTGAGGCCTGATTTTCCTGGTTGAGGAGGCAGGCTCAGAGCAGCAAAGGGCCCGCCTGACAACAGCTGTTTCTGGGGCGTTATCAGAACAGCCCTCACAGCACATGACTGCAACTCCCGCTTTCTAAACTCGGCCACGTTCCTATTGATGGAATTTCTCGACCTGGGTATTTGCAGCTAACTACCGCTAGGGGAATACAACATCCTCGCCTCCCGTAGCTTGTGTGTGCACGCGCGCGCACACTCACACACTCTAGCGCGCGCACACACACACACACACTCACACACGCACACGCGCCCGCGCACACACACACTCACACCGCCCGTCCTCCACCTGCTCGAGGTTCCTTCTTTGCAGCTGCGAGGAAGGCGTTTGGCCGGGGCCCAGGGGAGAGAGGCGGGGCGCG